CCCTACTAAGAACCAGAGAGAAGAAGGGGAAAGCCCTCCAGGTCCACCTGGTCTACGAGACACTCCAGCTTCCAGTCGCCTAAACCATCGACTCCGAATGATCCCTAAACCCCTAAACCCCTAAATCCCTAAACCCTTAAACCCCTAAACCCCTAAACCCCTAAACCCTAAACCCCAAAGCAGACTGCCACAGGCTGCCTTTGTACTCCGGGCTAAGCAGTCGGCGCACATCTCTCCTCGGCCCCTCTTGCTCTACCTCAGGGAGATGTGCGACCAGCCCCTGGGCTTGTAGGGATTCCTCGTGCCCTTCCTTTATGATTCAGGGTTTAGGGGTCTAAACCCTAAACCCTAAAGTTATCGTAGCTTCACCTCCGGAGTCGGCCCTACCAGCTTCGCCCCGTCGCCCCTGAAGATGTCCGCTCGAATGTTCGGAGCCAGCCTTATGTCAACAATAGCAATATTAGCAACAACAGCAATTATACCAGTAATACTAGCACTACCCGTAGGCGGCACGCATGGTCTGACTGGATCCCGAAGTACCCCCCTTAGCTTTCTGTCGGCTGCTGCAGACATGCAGGCTCTTTGATCCTGACCTTGCGACCTCCTTCGCTGGGTCCCGGGCCTAAGGATGAGTATGGGGCGTCTTCTTGGGTCAGGTTATGGCTACACTGGTTTCCCCGTCTTGTTGCCTTTTAGTTTTCGCATTCACATTCGTGTTGGCTTGAGTATGAGAGTGTGAAGTAGCAGTAGCATCCTCATGCATACGACTCTTGGAGTTTGAGGGGGGGGGGGCGGGCAGGGGCACGAGTTCTGCTATAGAAGCCTAACTGATTGGTAATCTTATTACTTGGGGTTTCTGAATGTCGCTATAAAATTACAGTTTGATGTGCATGGGAGCAGCAAGTCTGCTTTCTCCATTCGTGCTTTGCTTTCAGATGAGAGCACATCCAGCGGATGGGCGCAGTGGATGCGGGCCTCATAGGATCTGAGGAAGGCCATGTCGGCTCCCGCCAAACTCATTCGAGCCTTCCTTCCCCGTGCGTGAACTTTGGGCCACACAGCTTCGGTGTCGGTTTGACCTTGCCAGTTGGGACACTTCGGTGATCTCTTCGCTGTGAGAAGAACCCAGGTCTGAGAAGATGGACAAGCAGCTTATCTGCAACGCAAAGAGGGATCTGACGGAAGAGCAGAACGGTAGAGCCTGGGGGTGAGGTGGTGGAGCACATGAGGGTGGCCAGGATCAAGGGAACGACACGGTTGGTAGTCGGCTTCGTTGCCTGTAATCACTGTAACCAATGTATACGTCCAGACAGGCATGTTTCTGGCCTGTCTTAGAGGCGTCCAAACATTGCAGATTTGTGCCTCCGGAACGCTATCACTAATCCGCAACCGGTGGCCCACAGCTCGAGCACAGACATGAGAGTCGCAGCGGTCGTGCACAAAGTCACAGGCCAGAAATTTGAGAGCCCAAGTTGCGCTGATTCGTTCTCACCAAAACCAGTCTGTTATTTCGATCCCTCTCTGCCCTAAATCCCTAAGCGCCCTAAACCCTAACGCTTCAACCGCCAAGGGTGTCCATCATTCGGCGCTTCCACCGCAACATGGAGGATGAGCTTCACATGCTGCCCCTCACCGGCTCGCAGGGGTTGAGAGTTGGGAGATGTGGGAATCTGCGACATATGGCAGCAGGGCATCCGGAGAGGAGGGTGGCCTCTGCTTTCTTTGCTTCCGACACTCTGGGTCTCAGGTCTGTCAGCTCTGGCAAGAGAAGCAAATCGCCGGTCTCAGAATCCGGAGAAAATCCACAGGTCTTGAAGCAAAGCATCGACGGCCGACCACCAACGATGTCACCCGCAAGCTCTGACCTGCTCTGTCTAGACGTGGCACAGTTTGTGTGCCAGTGGATTAGAGAGGCTCCCGAGACCACGAACCGGAACGGCGGGGTGAGGCTCAGGCTCGTCTCGGGGCCCGGAGTTATTATGAGACCTACTTCTTAGAAAGAGATCAGTGCAGTAGTGCTCTTGAGCTCAGCCAGCTAGGTTCTCGAAGTTTGACTTCCTGCTCATGTTCCGCGAGATGCTCGGCCCCATTTGCTGGTTTCCTGCACCTATGGTACAGCAGCACCAGAGAGTCATTTTCAGGTGCACAGCAGCCAGTTGTGAGATGCGATGTGTCAGTAGCGCACGGCTCTGACGGTTCGGAGGCAGACGGGATCACGATCCATAAGCCCGTCACAGCAGCTCAGGAACTTCGTGACATCGCAGTTCCGCTGGATGCTGGAAACGGTAATCTTTGTCTATGTCGTGCTGTACCCGTGGTGCGTGTGGGCCCCGGTGTTGGTTGAAAAGTAGCGAGCGGCTTGGGGTTTGGGATGTCCTTGGCATCCTGTCGGAAATCCAACCGAACCATGCCAGGGCCGGCCTAAGGACCCTAAACAGACGAAGAAACTTCCCTAAGCCTCCAGGTACCTGCTACATAGGGCCCTAGGGGCTCTAGTACCCTATATAGTAGGTATCTGGGGGGTTAGGGCTTGCTCCCGGAGCTTGTGAGATTGTTCGGTGTTTTTTTTCCGGGCCGGGGGAGTGGCGACTTGCCCGTTGGCGTGAGGAGGAAAGAGATCTCGGACCTCTGAAAGACAGACGTCTGGGCTTCGGGGTTTCCGGAGCAAGAGCATATGAGTATATATGAGTCTTCCTCCCATGTTTCTCTACAGACCAGTCCGTCATTTGAGGCACCGAGCCCCAAAACCTGCACCCCAAAGCCGTCCGCCCAAAACTCGACCAGAAGCAGCAGAGCCTTTTCTTTCCGAGGCCCTAAACCCTAAAACCCTGCCGAGGTCTGCAACGAGTCCAACGTGGTCTTGGGCGCAACGACGGCCCCTCGCATTCAGGGAAGCTGAGGGCTCGCGATTTTGTGGTACACTGTCCGTTGCTTTGGCTGAGCCTACGGTGCATATCCGAGTGTGTGTGTGTGTGCATGTGCCTACGTGTATATTTATAATAAAAATAGAATGTAAAATACCTGTATTGTATTCCTGGAAAACAGTTTAGATTAAATGATTCAATTAGACGAGACTTTTTCGGCAGATGATAGATGGAGATGGGGTTCGAGGCTAGGAGGTTGTCAAATTAGGGTCGGAAAGTTCGCGACACCTCCCAGAAGCGAACTCCTGAACCCCTAAACTACAGAACCATGCCTTTGGCACCTTCGGCCCGTAGCCCTGAGCTATCTTGCTGAGGTTGGTATGGCCTGCGTCTTCTACGGCCTCAACGCTCTCACAGAGCAGCTCGAGGTGTCTCAACTTCGGGGGTGCAGGGGCTCGGATGTGTCGAGAGGTGCAGGGCAGAGACCAGTGAGATGGGCAGGATGGTTTCTTGGAATTCGGGCATCGAACACTAAACCCGAAACCCTACCCCCAACCCTAAACCTTAAAGGAGCTCAGAAGCTACACAGAGCCAGGAATCCTCGACCTTAGCAGTTTCAGGAGAGGTTGCAGGCTCCAGGGCTCTGGGTACCTCACTGCCAGTGCTTCGGGATTCGGAAGTCTTCCCGTGTGCAAGACCAGGACCCGGTCCACCACCAGGCACAGGGCTTCGATCTCTGGACCACCTTTGTGAACCTCTTCGAGGACCAGAGGGAGTTGCTACCCCGAGATCTCCGAGTTGCCAGCAAAGTTAGAAACTTCCCGGGGGGTTTTCTAGGATCCCACAAGGTCTGATCCCACTTTCTGCTCAGCTGCCTGCTCTGCATGAAGGAGCTGGACCGTGATGATGCAGTGCGAGACTGTTCCTCCACTTGCAATTGAAGAGCTGCATGGTGCATGTTTGCAGCTTCAGATATCACGGGTTTAGAGTTATGGACGAAGTCCGTAGGCGAGAGAGATTAGATTGGATACGGATTCTCTTCCCCGCAGTCACCCGTTGGTTGAGCTTCACTGCGACGCTTGAGGTTGCCGCAAGTTTCTCGAGAAGCACAAGGACCTGCCGGCACAGAATTCTCAAAAGTATGTTGGAGTTGCAGTTGGGNNGGACGAACACGCCAGTTTGAAGTTCTCTTCACTTGTCTGGAGTCACGTGTCTGCATAGTGTGTGGTAGTTGCGGATTCCGCAGAATAGTTCCAAAATGATACACAGCACCGTCACTCCTGCTGTTATCGTTGTCGTTGCGCCTAAGATCGCAGATCGCTGGCCCCAGTGCATTGTAGCTGTAGTCACACGCACGCTGGGAGTAGAACACATCATTAATTTTGAGTTTACTCGTCACCAAAGCCGGCAAGCCGCCCTAA